CCTTTGTCTCAATGTCTAAACTTAATGCAAGGGATTAATAAAATCCAGCTTGTATCCATTAAGTCATTCACTGATTTATCAAGTCTGACTAATAGGAACAGACGTCATAAAAGCATCTTAGCATGGCCATGCAGTTTTCTAAGTCATGACTTATCAGTGGGCCCCATAAGACATTAATCTCTTTAAAAAGAGTAGTGACAAATCCTATGTACGTAATCTACGTTTCTGAATACGCGCTGCGGCATACCCAAAACAAAGCCTGTATACCATCCTTATTTCATATGGCTTAGGACAATGCATCAAAGTATGCGGGTTCACATATGCAGAAAACGTAATACTTCAAGTCGAAGGATAATTACACCCGTGGTCGCACTAAAGATGCTTATAGCATGAACTAAAAGTTCAAGCAACATCTTTAGGATGGGTCAGTCCGGCATCCTATTATCTCTAGATAATATCTGCCCATGTGCGGATGCGAACACACCGTCATTGACTATGAGACTAAGTCAAACATCCAACAGACACTAGTCTCACATGCATTAACGATATCCCACTCTCGTTAATACTCGACTATGGACATTTAGATAAATATTTATTTCAAGATGTTAGTCTCATCAGCAGAAGAACACTATCTGATAAACATCTTTTAAATATAAATCTAGGAATATAATATTTGTTTACATTAGCATGAGATGTGTAAACTTATTATATCTGCCTATACATGATAGAATAACGATAAACAGTTGGCCATCAGGGCACAACTCCAACAGTTGGTTACTCCGACTCGGACTTTGCCGGTTGCAAATTGGACCGCAAAAGTACGAGCGGGACTTGCCACTTACTTAGTAGTTCTTTAGTTTCATGGTTTAGCAAGAAACAGGTCAGTGTTGCGTTATCCACAACCGAAGCAGAATACGTTGCCGCCGGTAGTTGTTGTGCTCAAACTCTTTGGATGAAGCAACAACTTGTGGACTATGGCCTTAGTATCAGTCACGTTCCACTCAGTCACGTTCCACTTCGGTGTGACAATACTAGTGCCATAAGCTTGACGAAGAACCCCGCTCTTCATTCAAGGACGAAACACATTGACATTAGGCACCATTTCATTAGAGATCATGTTCTCAAAGGTGATGTCGAAATTGAATTTGTTGAAACACACAACCAATTAGCCGACATTTTCACAAAACCTTTAGAGAAAGAGTCGTTCTTCCGCATTCGTAGTGAACTCGGAATCCTTGACTCCACGATGATCTAATTTGTGCATTTTATCACTATTTTATCTTTGTTTGAATGTTTACTAACTTGAGCGTCGGAGGGTTTTCTAACTCCTTTTTGCAGGGACGGTTCGAAGTGAAGAATTCTGAAAATCAGGGGGAACCAGCGATGGGTGAGCTATATCATCGCTGGGAGGGAAGTTTTCTTTTCTTTCAGAACCCCTCTTCCCATCGATGGGTGCTTCTTCCCATCGATGGGTAATTGACACCTTTTTTTTAAACCTTTTAACGGATTTTCAGAAACACCTTACCCATCGATGGGTATTTCACCCCATCGCTGGGTGAAGGACTTTTGTCAAATTTTTTTCAGAACCTCCCCTCCCATCGATGGGAACCTTCTCCCATCGCTGGGTGTTTGACACTATTTTTTAAAAAAGGTTTTATCGGATTTTCAAAATCACCAACCCAGCGATGGGATGGTATTAACATCGCTGGGAAGGCTTTCGCTCTTTAACCTTCTCTTTCCACAATCCACCTTCCCATCGATGGGAGAATCCACACATCGCTGGGAAGGCAGTTCAGTTTTCTCCTACGCTTTCCAGTGGCAACCTTCCCATCGATGGGAACTTCTACCCATCGCTGGGAAGCCTACTGCAATTCAAAAATTTTTGACCGTTGGGCAACGAATTTAATGCCCAACAGTCATATTTTTTGAACTTATTTCGGTTTCCACTCCTTCCCTATATATACACACCTTGTTTTATCATTCCTAATCACAAATTCACAACCCAAATTCAATCTCCTAATCAAATTTTATTATTTGTTCTTCATAAACGCTGTCATGGCCGGAGGAAAGAAGACAAAGGCTTCGAAGAAGAAGGTCACCACCGAGGCTACGTCATCTGTGCCTCAACCCTTCCCATATCTCGACGGATCCTTCTTGGAGTTCGGGTCAGAAGAGCAACTCACACGCTTCATCACCCACTTCGCCAAACGCCCTATCTCTCCGCCAAGAGTGCTGCCTGAGCTATACCCTCAACAAAAGGGGTACCACGACCTCGACAATCAACTCAAAGAGTCGGGTCTGTGGCCGTTCGTCTCCAGAAGCCGTCAATCCTACAATCCCGCCTACGTCCGGGCTTTCTACTCAAATCTCCGCTGGGACGGGGACACCATTCGCAGTAGCATCAATCTCTACGACATAGAGATTGATTTGGCTACCTTTGCTCGGGTCGCAGGGCTGCCCACCCGCGGTGATGACATCGCAACATATGGCGGCGATGATTGGATCCTCAACAACGAGGCGGTGGTCATCCGAGAGCTGGGAATCACCAACCTCGTCCGTGACAGCGGCACACCAACCATTCACTCAGCCCCGCCGGAGAAGCGTCTTCTACTCTACATCCTCACCCGGATTCTTCGCCCTCGGGATGGTAGCCACACCTGTCTCTTCAACGAGGATCTCAAGGGCGTTCATGCTATCACCCATGGCGCCTCGATCAATTGGGCAAAATACGTCATGATTCACATGGCGGATTGCGTCTCCATCACCAACGAGAGGAGTTTGCCATACGTCTTTCTCGTCATGGATCTCATCGGTGCCTCCGACATTCACATCGCCGGCCCAGATACGAAGATGACGAAGCTTTGGATCATCCAAGACAGCACCTTCCGGAAGAAGTCCGGTGACGGAACAGGCGTCGGACCGAGTCGTGCCCGTGCCCCTGCCCCCGCTCCCGCTCGGGCCTCACTGCAGTCCATAGCCGATACCCTGAATCGGCTAACCATCACCGTGGATGGCATGGGCCAGTACCTGGAGAGGATGGACTGGTCGATACAACGCCAACGCCACGACATGAGGGCGTACTTCCGCGGCATCAACTACGTCCCGCCGCCCTTTGATAGCACCTTCCTCGGCCAAAACTATGAAGGCGAAGATGAGGAGGATGACTCATATGCTCCGTATTCCTCCCCCGATGAGGCCGACTTTGAGGACGCCGTCGAAGGGGATCCCATGGACGTTGAGGACGACGAAGAAGACGATAACGCGGAGAACGAGGACGCCGATGCTTAGACTCTTCCTTCTCTCCTTTCCCTACTTTAATT